TTATTTCACTCGCCTTCCTTGCTTTAGCTGTTGTGAAAGGAAATTACAGCACTTTAATTTGGTGTTACGTGAGTGCACAAACCAGATTGACAACAACAACAAAAACTTGATTTGTACTCAGCTAGAAATTAAATGAACAAAAATAAGTGAAAATAAAAAGAGTACATGGCTGCCCGAAATAACTTCAATGGCCTGATAAGACTGGGCAGCCATCCTTACTGAAGCTGGGTACGATGACGATGACCATGATGACGATGGTTACGGTGACGGTAAGGGTGACTCACGTTGATGGTGATAGTGATGGTGATTGTAGTCAGTATAGTTAATCTATTTATCATTATCATTTTTAATGACAGCTGTGTGTTCCAACTGCCGCGGAGCACACTACAAATCCCGTAAGGCTCGCTGTTTCACGTCTGGAGAGCAGATAAGCTACTACGCATCGGCCATTCATAGCTCAGTAATCAGAGGACTTTTTGATGCGCCCCTCAGGTTCCCTTATATCTATAACGACGGACAACATGAAAAAATCGTACCTTTGCTGGTTTTCTTGTCTCTTCTTCAATGGGTGGCCATTTTGAATCGTTTAGGCGTGGTCGATTTCCAAGAGGCTTTGGACCTAGTTATAGAGATAGCGGTTTATCCGACTTTTTCCGATCGCGCGTCGAGAACGGTTTCTTGGTCCCAGTCCTAACTAAATTCAACCGCGCTTAAATATAATGACCAGTACTTGAAGACACCAACAACAACAAAATTGCAAGGGCGCCCTTTGGCATCGGCTAGGAAACACATATAGAGCTTCCACGGTTGCATGTATTGGAGATCTTTGTGGAATTGTTAATGATCCTGCTCATAACTTGATAATCCATTTTGTTACGCTTCAGGATCCTTACTCAGACACCTTGGTGATTGGAGACGATATCAAGGAGTCTGATTCCGTCACGTTCTCTGTCATTACTGTTTGTGAGTAGAACACAATACCAGCCACGGTGTGTGCAGAGGTCTCAAGCGCTGGTGAGGGGTCAGAAACAATCTCTTTGCAGTCCCATTCGCCCCAAGCCTCGATGCCAGAAGAAGAAATTAGTGTATGGGTTGACGAGACGGAGGAACAAAACAGCAAACGGCAGAAATTAAACGAAGCTGTCCACAGCATCTCAGGTGGCCGCTACAGCCTTGTAATGTCCACCCTGAACACGACCTGGGAAAACGTCTCCAATACCCAGCAGAGATATTACATCCGCAAAGCTAAAGAGACTATAGCGACCTCATTGTCTGTCATCACTCCCGGCCAAGAGGAACTGGTTTGGAAGGCGTTACAAACGGAGGTACTTTTGGATCCAAACAGAGACAACCAAGGAAAGCGCAAGCGTTTTAATCCCAACTCTGGTCTTGTCGACATTTTAGTCAAGGCCTATGAGCAAGCAGCTCATTGGCAAACAAAGCGACAGATCCTTTCGCTCTTTGCAGACGACTTTTCAAGAGCTGAGTTTCAAGAGATGATCCCTGGGCTCTCCAAATGGCCCATTGACCAAGTTCGCCAGCATGCAACAGAAACCGGAAAAGGCCCACCACTCCCCGAAATTCCTAGCTTCCGTACAAGAATTGAGCACGTAAAGGTGGATCATTTCATTGAATATATCTCCAGACCAGAATTTGTCCAGGACATGGCGTTTGGGACAAAAACTCTCAGGCTTGACTCGGGAGAGAAGATTTTAGTACCAGCGGTCAATAGGACCGTCATCCCTTCACGCATCATCAGACAATATTTAGACTATTGTAAAGAACAAGAGTTCGAGCCTGCGAGCCACCGTTCTCTCTATTCTCTTCTTGTTGAAAATAGCCGAGCCGTAAATGCCTTTACGTTTCATTTAGTATGTAAAACGATGTCATGTGACGAAAACTCATTCGACCATAACAAGGAAACAAGCAGTTTTGAAGTCAGAACAAAAACAGTCTACTTGCTGCATAAAAGTTCAATTCTCGTCGCCTGAATCAATGATGGAAGGCCTTCCTTTCTTCTGTGGTTGAGGCTGAGACTTTTCGTTGTCTTTAGAGAAGGAATTTCAAGATGCATCCTGTATAATTCTGCGATGAATTTCTTTTGAGTTGTGAAACTCCCTCGAGTGGGCGATTCCCAGTGGATAGTTTTCTTTTTTCTTTTAAATTCCGTTCAATGGCACTCTGCATGATTTTAAGAGATTCCAGCTTGTTATCATCTCAGTTTGTTTTTGTGGTCTCTTGTCAAGTTTTTGCGACACCATTTGTTTCAAGATATTTTCAAGATGGCGGCTTCGAAAGACGTTCGTTCATTCACTGTTTTGTGGAGCGGGGCGTATTTTGACTATGTTTATTCACAGCGACAGAGTTGAGTTCTTGTGTTGCCTCGTTTGAAACTACCGGAAGCCTGGGAACATCTACCTTCTTTAGATGGCTCTGAATTTGTTGTTGTGTAGTTTTCGTTTGTTTATGTTTTGCTGAACTCGGTATCATACGGATCTTGAGCAGATGTTGAAGAAAAAATCACTAAAACCTATTCGTCAAAATGGACACTGAAAGTTGAAAAATTCCATTAAAGTAGGTCTTCAGCCTAAGGGAGCTTATAATCGTCATTCAGAAACTGTAATTAATTAAATTCGACAATTGTTTTGGAGAAAAACAACAATAACAACAAAGTTTTCCCAATAATAGTTGTAAAACTCGCCACACAACGGCTTTTTGCCTTTCATTTTCCTGAAATTTTATTGGTTACTTTAAACTAACCTTTATATCTGATTAGTTGTTTTGTTTCACTGACCCATTCTCATTGGCTGAGAAAAAGATGCGATTTAGAGCAAAAACAAAAGTGCAATTCGTGAATAAATCGCACCACTGAGAGCCAATCAGACTGCAAGAATAATCAGTGATTTCAAAATGGATTTAATAAATATAGTAACGAAATGAGCAAGATGAGTGTACACTGTAGTAATGAGTATTAATATCATGTTTATTAATTTAGGAACCTTAATTATATCCAGATAGGGTTATTGCGTTGCGACCTGTTGTAGTCGGACTCGGCATCACTGCTCCTACTTTTATATTTGCCATAAAAACCGGACAGGATTATTGTATTTGTTTAGCAGAAAAACAGGCTATAGTCGACAACCAAGGACTATCATCAAAACTGTCTGGAGGAAATGGTGTATTACTTCGGATCCAAGCCATCCTCTGCCACTTAATAGGATTAACGTTATTTTCATTATTTCCATGGAAGTGTATCACTTACAGACGCGTCAACTTAGTATTGTGATCAAAAATCCTCGGAGGTAACTGCTTTAGCTGGTTTCCAAGTAAGGCCCTACCAAAAAAAAAATGATTTTAATAAACGCGATAAATTCTACCACTTACACCAGTCAGGCTTGAACTGCCGATCCAACTCCTAAGCGAGAAATAACAATATAGAATGATACTTTATTTTAGCACATTAAAGACGATTTCCAGTCCCTACTCTCTGAAGTGTGTTCTTTTTTTTTTGATTCATGTAAGATGTCTAAAAACGTAATATTTCGCAACTATTTACATGAAGTAAATGCAAAGTTTCTTGCCAACCGCCATCATGGATACGGAGCTTTATCGTTCTTTGTTTCTGATATCACTAGATGAAACAACTTCGTAGCTGTTGCGTCTTAAAGGTTTGTTATGGATGACATTGGATGCTGTGCAGGAAAGTTTTAACCTTGTCACTGTTGAAAGTGACACTGAAGCTAACAGATAAGTAACATAAACCTCACTCACTGTAGTTAGCGTTAAAGTCTCTGTTATTTTTGCCTTTTAATTCTGTTTCCACATACAACTAACCAGGACATCAAATGCTGATATAAAACCGTAAAGATATTTGATTTTAAAAAAAATGCGAATTTCCTCCAGCTGGCCAAAGGGTTCCAATAGAACATGGACATCGCTATATACGCCGGCTGTACGTCGTATCGCGATCGATTTTTGATGGTTGCAGGAAGTATGCTAATGGAGCTAGCTCTAGGAGAACAGTCAACAATTTTTCGTTTAGTGTTGATTCTCTTTGTTTTATTATTTTCGAAGAATAATGAAGTTCTAGGACCACTCCGGGAGAATTAGGGCTTTATTTTCAACTTAAACTAAAACCGGTGGCCGCGTAATCGGCTCATTTCAATTTTCTTTAATTGTTTCCAAGGATTTACCATTAACTCGAGCAAACTTCCGTGACCACCAAAGTCCAGCGTATTTAACATAACTTCGCCGATGTACATGTATTAAACAAGGCCTTACTACTTAAAAATAGTTTTCATTAGTCACGGACATTATTAT